TATAGCAATCTACAGGCTGGTCCAACCAAAGAAGATGTTTAACACTTGTTGAAATTTGTAGCAATTTACAAGATAACGTTAAGCCCACATGTGATCATATGTTGAAATTTACAGCAATTTACAGGTTGAGGTAAAAGCTAAGTATATTGTTTAAACATTTGTTGAAATTTGTAGCAATTTACAAGTAGGTTAGACCGAGATCACTGTTTAAATACTTGTTGAAACTTGAGAAGAAGCTTGCAAAGTTAAACATTGAATAGTATATGTTAAACACTTGTTGGAATTTATGAAGAGTTTGCAGGTCTGTATCTTGCCGAAGTAAAACGTTATTGTACCCGAGGTACGTAACCCCGAGAAGATTGAACAAAGGAGGCAAAATGGGAAGGCATGCAAAAAATTCCAAGTATAGAATCATACAGACGCAATCAAGAGAAATTAAAGATTAAAGCGTTCAAACGAAAATAGTTGCAGTTGTATACAAAGAAGGCACTATGGCCAACCAGAAATAAAGTTGTATTCAATAGAAGCAGAAGATACATCAGCTAAATAGAAGAGCTTACATTGTTTCAAAACCAGAAGTACAGAAAAGCTTATATTATCCAAAAAAACAAAAAGAGTACGGAAGACATCCAAAGTTATGATTCTTCAGTTTCAGGAGCGATATGGGTCTGGACCTCGGCAGATTCCTGGGGAACTACTTCGGCAGCCTTCTCTGCAGCCAGCTTGGCATCAATCTCTGCAAGCGTTTTGTCAAGACTTCTTTCAGCTAAGAGAAGGTCGGATGATAATTGCCCTGTAACAGCTTCCCTGAGCGCCTCCCCAGCCTCATCACCCTCTTCATCCAAAGTTAAGTCCATGACTTGCTCAGTTGGAGGAAGGGACTTGGCCTCAGCAATATCCTTGGATTTTCTCACCAAGGCCTCATCATCATTGTTATCCTGATCCTTGGCTTCAGACTCAAACTCAGATTCTTCTTCGGCCTGACTTGGAGGTAGAAGAGGAGGAAATGGGAGAGGAATAGCATCGGCATTACGGAAAGGCGAGTCAACAGGGAGATCAAGTTTTTTTATCAGGGACATCCAACCAAGGGAAAATCCCCTGTTGCATGCCTGCCTGACTTGAAGCTTGTAATCCTCAGTGACGTCGGCCATGCCCTGAGCATATGCCTTCTCATCAGCCTTTTTGATTTCGGCTTCCTTTGTGGCCAAGGCTTCCTGAAGTTCCTTCTCGGCCTGGGCCGCTCTCGCCTCGGCCTCTTTCTTTTGGGATTCAGCAACTGTCTTGATGGCCTCAGCAGATTCGGCCTTTTCCTCGGCTAGGGTTTGGGCTTTGGTGGCAGCCTCAGTCTGGTCTTCCAGCTTTTTCATTTTTGAAAGAAGAGTTTTGTTATCCTTTTTGAGGGCAGAAACCTCCCTCCTCAGGTCGACCGGCTTCTCTCGATTCTGGAAAGATTGCATTGAAAATGAGTGGGCATGCTAGATGGCCTAAAAAAAAAATAATAATAAATAGAAGTGTTAGAAAATATTTTTAAGTACAAAATAGAATGGAAGAAAAAGTACCGAGCAGGAACACTTACTTAAACAGAGTGCTGGAGCATTAGGGCATAGTTCTCATATTCACTATACCCGGCATTCCGCTCCAAATCACCAGGAAGGAGCAGCGCCGTAGTAAGGGCAACGCCGACATTTATGTCATCGGCGCTTTCATTGGTCATTATGGGCCTATCTTCCACAGTAATCTGGGGAGCCCAAGGAACATCAGACTTTTTGGACCCCGAGGTCATCACAGACGATGACCTCGGCTTCTTGGGTTGAGTAGATTGTGATGGCTGGGATTCTGCACGCCACTTCCCAGCGGAAGGTTGAGATTTGCTGCTTTCAGCCAGCTTGGAGATGGGTAGAGCATCCTCAGCGTCAACCTCAGTAGCCTTGGCCTTGGGCTGGCCCTTCTTAGTTCTTTTTGGATTCGGTGGGGGCAAAGGTTGGGTCGGAACAGCATCGACGTCGGTTAGAAGGTCGACTAGGAGATCTTGGGCAACAGGCTTCAGGCGACCCATCTCAGCAGTTTTTATGAGTCTTCGCCGACGTTTTCTTTCTGGAATTGGGATTAGGTATGGGCCAGAAGTTGATGGTTGGTCGGCTGGATCAGAGGTTGACCCTTGGTCAGCTCGAGATGTTGATGCTGTTTATAGAGTGGTAGCAGAGGGAGGAGATAGGCTCTTCTTCTTTCTTTTTGGGACGTCGGGCAGTGTGGATTTGTATGTGGAAATAAAATTCAGTAACAGGGGAGCCTTGCGCTTGTGGATTGGAAGATCTAGAAGCTTCTTTAAATCTTTTCCAGGGAAGAAGGATTGGCGGAAGTTTTTTGGTGGCTGATGAAGATCTGCAGGACAAACAAACAAGACGTTAGAGACAGAAAGTTTTGAAGACTTGGAAAAGAAATAACTAAGTATTGGCGCTGGGCTCTTACCCTTGCCCTTTGTAACTGTTCGAGGAAGAGGGTAGAGGTGAACATCTTCGTCTGGACCAAATTCCCAATTTCCTGAAGCAATGACAAAGTCATCCCCAGCTCCCTTGTTGGAGTCCGGGAGGTCGGTTACAATTTTGAATTCAGTAGACCTTGGCTTGAGGTAGTAGACGCAACCTTTTTCCTTCAGGTTAAGGGGGCACATGGTATAACAATATTGTACATCGGCAAGGGTGATCCTAACATTCTCCTGCCTAGCTAGGGCTATGATACCATTAATCACTCGATAGGAGTTGATGGTAAGTTGCATGGGGTTCAACTTATAGTAGTGGAGAACCTCGCGAAAAAGGGGATTAAGTGGAAGCCGGAGTCCGCATTCAGTAAAAGCTACTATAGGAAAGGGCATTGAATCATCTGTGGGCATGATAGAGTCATTATCTTCAGCTAGCCTCAGATGGACATCGACAGGAATAGAGAACTCCTGCCTAAAGTACTCAAGTTTGGTCGGGGTATCAACCCTATGTCTCCACATGCCCATAACGTCGGCCTAAAGTCAGAAGGCTAGGTCTCAGAAAGAAGGTGTTCTTAAAGGGTTATTGGAACCTCGGCGAAACCCTAGGTATAATCTGGTAAGGATTGTTTCAGTTTTTCCTAAAAATTAAAGGTTCTACAAACAAATCCCAAACCTAAGAACTATGAAGATGAAGATCAAAGGCACAGATCTGGAAAGGAAAAACAGAAAACAAAGAACGAAGAATGACGTTTCAGAAACGAAGAACAGAGGTATGTTCAAGATATGAGTAAAGTCATGGAAAAAACACATCCAGATGAATAGTTTAGCAAATCAAAAGTTTGAGACAAAGCAATAATGGCAGCAAGTAAACGAAAGCACATAGAAGAAATTTGGAACAAGAGAAACAGAGGCTTACCAGAACAAATGAAGCCGGAATAAAAGGTCGCCGAGGTAAGGCAACGGTTGCAGACACGACAGAACGGCGAAAGCTTCAAAGGGAGAATGAAGACAGTTGCAGAGCTTGGAGCTAGAGCAATGGCGGGTTTGAGAAAGTTTAGAGAGAGAGAGAGCCAGAAAATCGAATGCAAAAGTAAAGAGACGAAAAGAAAGGGGGAAAAGTTTTGTAAAAAAACTTGAAACGGCGGCAAAAGGCAGGGCATTTTTTACGCCTGGAGCAACGCATACGTCAGACGGCGTAGATAGGTGAAATACAATTTTCAGGCGCATCACAGACACGGGCCAATGAGGATAAAGCACGTGAGGGGAACGGTTGAGAAAAGGTGCATGACAGCTCATGCGCGTGGAGGAGTTCGTTTGAGTTCTTGTTCTTTGATGAAGGCATGTCGGCCTAAAATGAACGATCTCGGCCGAAGAGTTCTCACGCCGAGGTACTGGAAGAAAATACAGATATAGGTTCCATCACCTAAAATATTTAGGTGGCGACTCTGTATCTGGCGAAGCAGTCCATGTTTGGCACTTCTTTCAAAAATCTGTTTTCTCAAAATGATTTGCCGAATTTGGACTCTTTGGTTTAGATTTAGAACCGTGACAATTTGAGAGTCCTGAGCTGTAGTGACCCCAAATGAACAGAACGGGATCACCCTCCTGGAGCGTTCAGGGACGTCTATAAGTAGCATAACCGCACACATAAAATAGAGAAATGTACAGAAAATTTGCAGCAAAAATTTTTCTACATCGGTGAGAATGGAATTCACTCTCTTTAGAGTATAATGATGAGAACAAAAACTCAATACCAATATCCTATTTTTCCACTTAAGGACAACTAAACCCCATGCCAACCAGCTTCCTGCTCAGACCCAGTGCCCTTAGTATTTTCTTAATTTCACCCCTATAGAATTCCCACAAGTTCCATATTTATAGACAAACTATGAAAATATCAATCCATACATAATGGATTCTTTGTGGATTCTAGACTTCACAAACTAATCCAAATACACGTAAAAAACCAATGGATCCTGTAGATTAGAAGGCATACACTCAACAAACACGGTATCTATCTAACATGTTAGCTACTCATTTTTATTTTGAATATAGTGTCGACAAATAAGATAATAAATAAAATATGATATATTTACATTATTGAGGCAAAAACAATCAATTTTGAATCGACCTTTGACTTAATATACAGGAACCATCCATTAAGAGTTGTCTTTTGCTCCTTTCGATACGCTATCTAGATCTAGTAAAAAAAAGTAGTCGGTGTTTATCAATTTGTGACAATGTTAGCATGACCTAGACAGAGAGTGCATTAAATTTAATAACATGGGCGAATTCAATACTTATTTATTTATTTATTTATTTAAGTGTGCACATTACATATAATTTTTGGTGAGTACATTACACTATTTATTTATTTTTGACAAGTAGATTACTTGTCCCCATTGGTTAATTCAAGTACATACATCTAGAATTATATTAAAATGTTTTATGAATAAATTTTAATCTCGTTGGCTAATGTTTTATATTATGTTTTCTTATGTTTTTCGGGGATACTAAAAAGGATCCAATAAAAAGAACAAACGAACTGCAATGATCACATCAATAATAGTCATTTCAGGGGTTCTTGTCTTGAGTTTAATCGGCTGGTATTTTTTGAAGAAGCTTCACTTGAGAAGAGGTAAATATTTTATGCTCAAGTTTATTTATTTATTTTTGAAAAATTGTTTCAGTAGTTAATGCCATCCAACTGTTTGACATAATGTTTATTTGACAAAATTGATGTTCCACAAAAACTTGCATCTTAGCAACCCAAGAGTCACGCACTTCTACCAAATTCACTGGTTCAAAAGTGTTTGTATGTGAATGTTTTATTATATGCACTTGAATGTACATATTTTTAAACTTGTTAATGTACGTTGACAAAATTCATTTTTTTTTTTTTTTAAATTTTGAAGTTTATTTTGTGAATTTAAAATTTACCATTATGTCATAAATAAAAAAAATTTCTCAAATTTATGCTTAAATTTGACTTTTTCGATTGAAGTGTTTCATAACAACCAAAACATTTGCTCAATTTTTTATTTATATAAAAAAAAAATTACTCAATTTTTTTACATTTAAATTTGAACATCAATCCTTTTTCCCATCTGAAAGGTCAAGGATCATCGTCACTTTGACCAATGAATAACATTAGGATGAAGAAAGAGAAAAGGTAGCATGTTCTTAAAATGAAGAAATCTCAAGGATCATTCTCACTCTAATACTCAAAAATGTCTTAATATATGGTTATGATGACAAATAAGATTTTAATTTGTCCTATTCTAGTTTGATTTTACATTGTGTAATGAAAAAAGAGTAAAAAAAGATAACAAATAATTAACTATTTGAGCCTAAGGAACTTCTATCTATGAGATCTTAGGTTCAAGTCGTGATGTCATATTTAGTTGATATGTGAAGCTAGTGGGTAGTCACACATACCCGAGTTTGCGCTCTTATCTCTTTTGGGATGCATGTTTATATGTATCTATGCAACTACATCTGACAACTTAGCCTGTGTCGCATATTTATGGCTCCTTGCTTTAGCAATTTTGATTAGTGATATTTTAAGATCATTTAGATTGTAAAAGTGAATTGCATGATATTCAATTACCCTAGCAACTAAGTACAAAGACAAATAGCAAATCATAATAAATGTGTATTCTCTATTCTCTGCATCAATTTGGATTTCATCATTTTATAAGTTTCTATCGATAATAATAAGAGACGATAAATGTGTATTCTCTATTCTCATGTAAATAATTTTCCAATCATTACAGCTCGGAGATTGGATAAGAGAAACCAAAAGGTTCAAGACAACAACCAAAGAATTGTGGAGGAAGAGGACTTAGCATTACTTTTATTTGATTTGGCTACCGTTTCTAGTGCCACTAACAACTTCTCCTTAACAAATAAGATTGGAGAAGGTGGTTTTGGTCCTGTTTACAGGGTAATTTTCCATAATGTATGCAAACTTAACAATCAAATGTTGATTGTTTTATGCTTTAGTCATGATAAATTGTTTGCCTTTCTTGACTGTTGAGTAATATCAAGGTTCATGATAAACCATAGGGTGAACTCACAACTGGAAGAGAAATAGCAGTGAAGAGACTCTCCAAAACTTCAAGGCAAGGCTTCACAGAGTTCAAGAATGAGGTCATCTTAATTTCAAAGCTACAACATCGAAATCTAGTTAGACTTTTGGGATGTTGCATTCATGAAGAGGAGAGGATGTTGATCTATGAGTACATGCCAAACAAAAGTTTAGACACATTCATCTTTAGTTAAGATCTAAACACTTGAAATCTTCACAATCTTTACCTAAAGTATACTGAGTTTTTTAAACTTGGTTTAAATTTAAATTGTTTCAGATCGAACAAGAGGTATATCACTTGATTGGAAAAAGCGCATTGACATAATAGTGGGAATTGCTCGAGGACTACTCTATCTTCATCGAGATTCAAGATTGAGAGTAATTCATAGGGATTTGAAAGCAGGAAACATTTTGTTGGACAATGAGATGAATCCTAAAATTGCAGACTTTGGGTTGGCAAGATCATTTGGTGGTGATCAATTTGAAGAAAATACAAATAAGGTTATTGGGACTTAGTAAGTACATACTCTTTGTCTCTTCTCTCGTATTTATGTATAGAGCTTTCCATTTGACATATTTCCTTAATGATTGTGTGCAGTGGCTATATGTCTCCTGAATATGCAATAAATGGACACTTTTCAATGAAATCCGATGTTTTTAGCTTTGGTGTAATAGTTTTAGAGATTGTGAGTGGTAAGAAGAATAGAGGATTTTATGATCCTGATCATGACCTTAACCTTTTGGGACATGTGAGTTCAAAATTTAATGTTACCAATTGTATGAGGTTAGAATTTGTTTTATGGTGTGAATCAAATTATGAATTGTTTTTTGATGTAGGCTTGGAAGTTATGGAACGAAGGAAATCCCATAAAACTATTTGATGTTTTCATGGAGGATCCAGTTCCCACATCAGAAGTGTTTAGATGTATCCAAGTAGCCCTTTTGTGTGTGCAACAACGTCCTGAAGATAGACCGACAATGTCATCTGTTCTGTTAATGTTGGATAGTGAGAACCCAGTGTTGCCCATGCCTAAACAACCCGGCTTTTACTCTGAAAGCCAGCTTTCATCAACTGGGAAACATCATTGTACAACAAATGAAGTAACCATAACAATGCTACATGGTAGATAGAATTGTTGTTCTAATCTTTATAAAAAAATATTTTCATAGCTTGTATTGCTTTGTAAATGTAAAATCTCATCTATCAAACTCGTAAATTTGTAATTTGTTTGGGGAAAAGAAAAAGGAAATAAATTAATTTTATTACATGATTTTAATTATGCAATGAAAATGTTATTGTTATTTTAGTGAAATCATTTGGGATAATATTAATCATATAAACACTTGGCTTCATACCTACCTCTTGCTCTGTTAGTGACTTCAAAATTTTATTTTATTTATTTATTTAGTTTTTTTTTTTTGGGAGTCTTTCTTGTATTTTACTAATTGCTTCTTGTAATTATGAAATTGACGCTCTTTACGTCAAGTCCCCTACTGCTAATGTTTAGTTAAAGGAGAAACTAAGGTGTTAAAAAAAGGATAAATTATAACTTTTTATTCTTATAGTTTGACCCAATTATCATTTTGATTCATTTTATTTCAATTTCAACAATTTAGTGCCTACATTTTTAAGTTTTGATTGGTCATTCCAATATGAAAAAGATCGAACACTTGAGTTTGCTTAGTTATAAGTTAATAGGGGTGTAAATCTGGCCCGGCCCGGCCCATGTCGGGCCTCGCGGGCTCCTGCCAAAATTTGGGTCGGGTCGGTCACGGGCCACAAAAAATAGGCCCATGGGTATTCGGGTCTTGGGCGGGCCGGAGGGTTGGGCCTCTTGCCGGCCTGGTGGGCCTAGGTCTGACCTCGCGCTTGGGTCGAGCTTAGGCAGGCCTGACCATCTCTTTTTGTTTTTTTAAATTTTTTCTACCAAAATTTTATTATTTTAAACTAAAAAAACACTGGGCCTCGGGTGAGTCGAGGGGCCGAGCCTTGAGCCGGGCCTTGAGTGGGCTTTAAACGGGCCAATTAGGCCACAGGCTGGGCTTCAAAATGATGGCCCAAGCTCAGGGTCTCGGGCTGGGCTCGGACCCAAACGGGCCTGGCCCACCCTATGCTGCGGGCGGGCTTCGGGCCGTCCACGGGTTGTGAGCGATTTTTACGCTCCTATAAATTAAGGTGTTTGAAAAGTTACTAAAAAAAATTTATATGACATTTGAGAGGATTCTGTCCAAGGTGCTGTTGGGCCGTGGATAAACTACAGATTCTGTTATCACTGTCTTGGCAATGGGCCGTGCTTACCTTAAAAAATTTTAAAGCCTAAGCCCGGTCTAGTCTCAAACTCTTGGGGTTTGTTTAATCAACAGCCCGGGCTTGGGCTAATTCATCATAGATTCTTAAGGTCCATGCTCTACCTACAAGCTTAAAAAATAAGGGGAGTTACGGGCCGATCCTTTATACCGAACTTAATTCCTCTGAGGTCCTAACTCAAAAAGATTTAGCACATCTTCCTATTTTACCCTTAACATTCAGTCCAAACAAAGAAATCACTCAACAGTTTTATTGTCTCTCTCTATCAGAATTGTTCGAATCTCTCTCTCTCTCTCTTAACCGACCATCAAAGACCACTTCTGACTGCTGGTGACCATCATCACCCTTGCAAACACCTCATTTTTGACCGACCTTAAGACTCTGACGTCACAGATTGAGCGCTCGGTGATAGTGCATATTGCGCTCGTTCTATGGTTGCGGAGTCTCGACTGCGAGCCTTGCCTCCGAACTTCGGGGCTCTTTTGTGCTTTGCCTCGGTTTGCGAATCAGGTCCTGTTTTCTCTGTTTTCTCTTCCCAAAGGGAGGGAGAGGTCTCGTAAACCATCTCTCAGTGGTCGTAGGCTACGTTTCATGACCGTAGGCCATTTTTCCCTTTTGGAGCCTAGTTTTCGGTTTTCGGAGCCGTCGACCGTGTGCCTCAGTTCGGAACCGCTTAACTACTTCTGTTTGCTCCGATTTTTGGCACACACCTTATTTCCTCCCTTTAGAGGGACACTGTGAACCGGGAGACCACCCTTGTGGTCATACGCCACTTCCGGTGCCTAACAGCCTGTTTTCGGGGCCTCAGACTGCGCGTTTTGGCCCCCGAACCCTCGTTTTGCATCCGTCTTGGTCCATTTTTGGTAGGGACCCTATTTTCATTGTTAGGGAGGTAGTAGTATGGTGGGAGGCCACCTTTTTCCCTTGAAAACTAGTTTTCTCTTTTTCTCTCTCCTAAAGCCGATTTTTTGACAGAAAACTGGTTTTTCTCACTTTTGAGCCACAATTTCTGGCTTTTCATACCACCATTGTGTTGTGCTCATCTGGAAGGCCACCAATATGGGTAGGCCGACCAGTAATTCTTCTTGACCCTTTTAAACCTTACTAAAAAGCTGATTTTTCTCTCTCTTGGTTCACATTTTCTGGTTTTCCACCATATAGCTGTGTTGCACTCATCTGGGAGGCCACCTTTTTGGGATGGCCAGCCAGCATTTCTCCTTCAACCTTTTGACCCCTGGTCGGCCGACCAGGGGGAGTGGCCGGCCAACCACCTAAGCTGGTCGGCCAGCTTTCTGCTTTTTGCTCTTTTTGAGTGCAACATAGCTGTGCCAGCTGTGAAGCACTTAACCCTTCCTCCGGGGTTTTGACCCTCTTTTTGGTCTTTTTAAGTTGGTTTTGACCCTTTTGCTTAGCTTCTTGGAGAAGCTTGACTCTTTTGTCAAGCTTCTTGAGGAAGCTTGACCCTTTTGGTCTAGTTTCTTCAAGAAGCTTGACCCCTTTGGTTAAGCTTCTTTGAGAAGTTTTGACCCTCTCTTAAGGCTTCTCCAAGAAGCCTTGGCCTTCTTCCTTTATAAAACCAACATTTCCCCTCCATTTACAAGGGTTAGAAAATTTAGCCAAGGGATATACACTCCTCCCTCTATAGCCTTCTCACTACAAGAAATTGCATTTTTCGCAACGCAACAAAATATGTTGCTAAAAGGAAAAATTCGTTGGCAAAGAGTTTTGCCGACACACAAAGCTACGTTGGCAACCTGTAGGCAAAAGTGAGTTGGCAAAAGTTTTTGCCGACGAAATTATCATTGCATTGGTAAAAGTAATGCCTTTAGCGAAGAACATAGTCGTCGCTAAAAGCCTTCATCCATCGTCGGCAATTTACCTTGCGTTGGTAAAAGTCATACAAATATGATGATTGTGTGGCACTTTTGGCGACACAAATTTGCATGGGCAAAAAATATACTTTTACCAACAACATATGCGTCGGCAAAAGTAAACTTTTGGCGACACATTTACATCTGTAAATGTTGCCATGCCGATGATTTGTTTGTCGCTAAAGCTTTACTTTTGGCAACGAAAAATTGGCATTGACAAAAAATACACTTTTGCCAACACAATATGATTGGGCAAAAGTAACTTTTAGCGACACATTTACGTCGGTAAATGTTGCCATTTGCCAACGATTTGGTTGTCGATAAAGCTATAGTTTTGGCAACAACAAATTAGCATTGGCAAAAATACACTTTTAGCAACACAATATGAGTGAGCAAAATTAAACTTTTGGCTACACATTTACCGACAAATTGTTTGTCGAGAAAGCTTTACTTTTTGGCAACGACAAATTTGTAGCGGCAAAAAAAATTGAAAATCATATATATATTTTTATAAGATTTACATATTTACAAGATGCATCCTTCAGGCACTACTATTACAAACTAATAACCTTGATATTAAATCACCTAAAGTTGATGTGTAGGTAAAAAAACACTGCTGAAAAATATGTTTTTGGAAGCGTTGTATAAAACCTAAAAATGTAAACTCACTAAAATACTCAAATACATCCAAATTGTGAACCCATAGTAAAAATAGCAGATAACAAAATGAAATCATGAAACTAACAACCCAAATTTGCAGCAGACCAGCATCTAGTAGCGGCCCACTTCACAGCAACATTGCAGCAGCAGCAACCCAGCAAAATTCTGCAGCAGCACACCGGCAGCAGCAGCAGCAGCAAACTAGCAGACCATCAGCAGATCCTGAAATAAGAGAGTACTTAAGAGTGTCCCACATAATTACCGAGTGGCTTGCAAATCCTGAAATCCTATCCTGTTTGCCTGGAAAATACATTCCAGATAGTACACAAAACATGGATTTAGGATTCGGTCTTATCCTTCCATTTCGATGCATTGGAAAAGCTTTTAGGATTTTACTCCTCCCAGTAACATCAGCAGCACTACGTAAAAGAGACAAGGCTTCCCGAAAGCAATGGAAATCAGTTTCCCTGTTTGTAGAGGATAATTGGCCTGTAGCATCTGGCCAACTGACAGTTGAACCATTGGTGGTCTAGAAACCTTTTGAGAATCTCCAGGTAATGTAGGCAATGCTGAATTTGCAAGTCCATGACATACAGGGCAGAGACACTCCCCTTGAGATAAAAAGATCATTATTCAAGATAACAAAATAAACAATTGCTATCAACTGCAGAAAATGAGAGACTAAAGCAGACTGCTACCTGTTCTGGATCTACAATGAGTCCTCCTTAAAAAACAATTCGTCTAACATACCTGTATTAGCAGCATAAAAACATTGCATATGCCTTTTCAATACATGCACATGTCCAGCAACATGTTTAAAGAAACCCTACTTTATCAATATTATCACAACTGTGAAAAGACAGACAGAAAACTTTAGTTACAAGTGTATGCCTATGTAGCAATGTTCAATTAAGTATGCATGTTGAAGGAACCTTGAAATAAAGGCAAGTTTAAAGCTTGGTTGTAGAATCACTTAATGCCTTTTGGTTGTTGGGATATCATGAAAGAATTCTGGAAAAAGGAAAGTTAAGAAAGCTTGCTTTTTCACGACTAAAATCTCCTGAGAGGCATTTTCTTATTAAAGGACAGGAAAACATTTAAGAAAATACTCTATTGGAGGCATAGCCACAAACAAACACTCAAAATTGAAATAGTTAAATTCACATTTTCATTCACTGTTCCTATTACGGAGCATCACATCAATTGATGCTTTAGTTCATGGTTCCTTAGTATAAGCTTTAAAGTCCTGGGATTCTCAAGTGATTGAGACATAATTATATTTGAAACAATAGTAAGAAACAGTTTTGAGCAATCACTCTCAAAAAAATAAACTTCCTTCACACATAGAAGATCATAAGTTCATAACCCTTAGGTCATAATCTAGGAACAAAAGAAATAGCTTCAAAAAATTATAACCCCAAAACTCACTATAAAAAATTTTAGGTGTTGCATCTCAAGACGTTCAAAAGGCTCATCTTTCAAGGGATAAAATCCAGCGCCAAATAAAATATATTCAGATTATGCTGAAAGTGTAACATAATAGTGCCTAGGATTTTGGGATGGACTTAAAAAATAAATATCCTAACTTAGTAGGACTTACCTTTCTTTCAGTGATGATAAATAACGATCAAGACATGCTTGATGTACAACATGCCCACAAGAAGAAACATGGATTCTATCACAATCTAAGGGACCAAAGCCATCATATGCTGTAAGAAGTGAAGAAGATTCTGATGGTGCTGTAGCGCGCGCCTGGATAATGGAAATAAACCCAAACCTCAAGGAGGGGTAAGTGTAATTTACCCAAATTGAAATAGTTAAATTCACATTTTCATTCACTGTTCCTATTACGGGGCATCACATCAATTGATGCTTTAGTTCATGGTTCCTTAGTAAAAGCTTTGAAGTCCTGGGATTCTCAAGTGATTGAGACATAATTATATTTGAAACAATAGTAAGAAACAGTTTTGAGCAATCACTCTCAAAAAAATAAACTTCCTTCACACATAGAAGATCATAAGTTCATAACCCTTAGGTCATAATCTAGGAACAAGAGAAATAGCTTCAAAAAATTATAAACCCAAAACTCACTATAAAAAAGTTTAGGTGTTGCATCTTAAGACGTTCAAAAGGCTCATCTTTCAAGGGATAAAATCCAGCACCAAATAAAATATATTCAGATTATGCTGAAAGTGTAACATAATAGTGCCTAGGATTTTGGGATGGAGGACTTAAAAAATAAATATCCTCAAGGGGGTGTAAGTGTAATTTACCCAAATGGTTGGTGAGTGAGGAGCTGCTATCATGTTGAAGAAAGACCTAGTTTGATTTCAGACATGAAATTAAAGCTTTTGAATGAAAAATTGAAGAAATGGAATCAGGATTCAAAAGCCAGCAGTTCTGAAGGACACAAAGGCCTTCAATAAGATCGAGAGTGTTCGTAATCTCATTATCGCAAAGGGGCATAGAGAGTACTTGAAAGAAGAATTTGGTAGCATTGCAAAGATGGAGAAAACGAGATAAAACCAGAAGGCTAAGGCTTTATGGCTTAAAGAGGGTGCTGGAAAAACCCATTTTTCTTAGAGAATGGCTAATGCTCATACATAGGCAAAATTCGTATTGGGGCTAGGGTGTGGACAGTTGAGAAGATTAGAACTAGTACAGAGGATTCCTATGAGGAGCTTTACTCAGATCCAGGAGGATGGGTTGGACTTTGGTGGCATCGCGACCACTGATAAGGATTGGTTAGAAAGACATTTTCAGAAGAGGAAGTGGTTGTGGCATTGAAGTCTCAAAAAGGAGATAAGGTCATGAGTAGGTTGGTGTATGAGTATGACTATTGCCTTTTTCCAATAGTGTTGGGAAGGCGTTAAATAAGCCTACATAGTTGTGGTGGGCATGATATCCTTATTTTTTGAGCATGGTGTTTATTAGAAAAGTTTCAATGTATTTGTGTCATTGATTCCTAAGAAAGGAGGGTAGAGTATACAAAGGATGTTAGGCCCATCTCCTTATTGGAAGGAATATAAGATCCTACCTGAAGTTTTAGCTAGACCATTGAAGAAGGTACTTCTAAAGGTAGTGCCAGAGGAGTAGACAGATAGTGCCTATGAGTGGTTCGCCTAAAATATTATGTCATTTATTATAAGCAGATGACACCATTATATTTTAGATTTCATAGAGTCTATTAAGTAAAGAATGAGGTATAAGCTATTTTGAGATCCCCTTTTGATGCTCATTCTCATATTTAGCTCTGTTTATCAAATATATATATATATATATATAATGAAAGAGAAAAGAAAAAGATATGAAACTTTTACACGTGGCCAAACATTTAAAAAAGTAATAAACAAGACCAACTAAAATAGTGTCTATGAGAAATAAGTCAATGAAAGGCCTACCTTGAAATAGCATCTTTTGCTCCAAGTGAGTTTACAATAATACCTTCAAAGCTGCAAAAAAGATAAAACATGAACCATTTGTACCAACTAAAATAAACAAAGTAACAGATGTCACCAAAAGAGTTGGCAATAAAACAAAAAATACTACACAAAGTACAAAGCAACCACACTATATCAAATAGCACACATACATTGACCAATCAATATGGCCATATCTGTCAGGACTTAGGATTGAGATTTGAGCTCCTATTTCCTCCCACATAGAACGCGCTTTACCATCCTCTAATGGATAAATCTGTCAAAGAAACATTATAAGGATGTATAAGTGTACAACAATCAAAATTCTAGAGGTATGATCTGCATAACTCAGCAGGTTTTTCATAATGACTAATTAGCTTTAGCAAAGAACTTATCTTCAAAAGGGTTCCATATACAAATCATAGCAACCTACCGAACCTGGTTGATTTGCATAACATTTAAATGTTATAGGATACAAAAAGAAACCCTCATCTGTGGAAAAGATAATAGAATCAGAATGACTGCTTTACTTTTCCCCATAAATTTGAAGGACCCACAAAAGGACAAGAAAAAAAGAGCTTGTAAACCTATGTAAAAAGTGTGATAATCCAAACGACTCTTTGTTAATCACATTATATTTACCTATAAAAACAAAACAACATTTGCTATCACTAGCAATGAAGAATATAAACAACATATTTACCTGTAACTAGCACAAACAAGCACAAATGATTCAGAGAAAATCACCTTAAGCACATAGCCAAGCTTGTGCAGTTTCTTTGTAACAGTAAACAGCATCAACGACGCTGGATCTTTCTTCATGTTTCCCAAGATCTAACGTCCATCAAAACGAAAGCACTATTTAGGGGACAGAGTCTAATCACTTCAATGCACCAATTTAAATAAAATGTTTCTTGAAATATCAAATTTTCTGAATGATGAATATATAGTTAAGCAAACACATTGATCTATAGGAATTATATTCAAATGTAAGAAATCATGTTATTTTTCCTTCAAGAACATTTAGTTTACATTACTATCCCAAAAAAATAGAAGGCATCGGTGCATCATGTATACAAAGGTATGCCATGAAGAAATAAAAGCAACCGAAAAATTGAGGATTTGGTAATGAGATGTTATTTTTTGTTCAATACAAAGGTACACTCGTTGAACACTTTTCAACACATTGAACACATGCAAATGGATCCTATTACTTTTGGAAAAAAATTTAGTTCCGGACACTCTTTGGACAATCACACATATCCATCACTTATACACACATGAAACATACTACAAGTATAAACAAAATAACTTTCCATTCAATGATAAAAGAAAAATAATATAAATTTATATCTATTAATCATTCATCTTTATAAATAAAAAATAATTTTTTTTATTATATATATATATATATATATATATTTTTACTATATATTTTGTGTGTGCCCTCCATCTATCACGTCCTGCTTTTTTAAAAATTATCGTGTCTTGTGACATATTCGTGTTCGTGCTACTTAGTATCTAAAAGCACAATAATCAAAGTGAATGGTTTTATTGAATGAGGATTTTTGTAGCCCCTCAAATCCTAAATAATAAGGTTTAGAAGACACCTCTAAGATTGAAGCTTCAAAGCCAAGAGATTACGAGCTCAACCAAGAACTGTGTCTTTGGTAATCTTAACTCATGCCAACCAAGTCAGATCAAGGGCAGTCTTCAAGTATTGCTGAACTAACACTTTCCTTCTTCCTAGTTTATGAAAGCATAGATTACATTTTTGTATATTCAACATTTACTTAGACGAGATGTGTTTCATAGAGACCTAGGGACGACCATGTCCACTCAAACTAAAAATTCATACATTGGAATCACAAATTTTTCCAGTGATAAGCTGCTGCATATCCATCCCTCTTAGCATGACAAGAGCAACTGATTATCAAACTGAATATTGAATAATGGGCATAAACAAAAGGCAAAACTGAAAGCATAGAAGGCTGCAAGCCTGCAACCACTGCATTCCTAACTATTTATCGCCAGCAGAAAGATGACATTTATGGAAAAGGACTCTTCTAAATTCAAGTAGAATTGGTCATGGGACATTACATCTTGCATAAATTTCTTGCAAACAGGACAGATTTCCTTGCTGAGTGTTGCAGAAAACATCATAACTTGAATTTAATGAGTCGTCTTGAATATCTCCTGCACATCTCTCCTCATGTCTGCAGTACATATGAAGCAGAGAAATTACAAGTATCAGAACACTTAAACAAAACAATATGGTGGTGGTTTGGGATGGGTGGGGGGGGAGGAACATACCAAACACTGTATGACATCAAGTGAGACTTGAAATTCAATTGAAACACATAAAAATCTTCACAATACTGATAAATTCAAATAAAATCTAACCCGAAAGGAGTGTTGAAAACAATTCAAATGAGGCAAAAACCTAAACAGGACATTTCTAGCAAAAAACAAAACAAGGTTCAAACACTCTGCTCTCGAAAGTCGAATTTCAAGACCAAACAATCAAAAGATTCAACAAGTTTTCTAATTTGTTAACCACAAGTCTAACAGATATCTTAACCATGAGTTTTCAACGTTCATATAATATTCAAATTCATTAAAGGCTATGAACATATAATACAAATGAAAAAATATACCATGCATACAGAGTCTAGTCTAAAAATAAGAATATACTAGTTGTTACCTTCCCTTCAACATGCATGCCCGACAAGTGCAACTTCACCCACATTCCGCAAACCATTCACTTCCTTAGTTGTATACACAGCACACCACATGTTGCAGAGTGTCATTTTTTAATTCATTTTTATAACATTGCAGCAGAAGCAGCAGCAGCCAGCCGAATTAAAGATGAAGCCATTTTTTCTTTCTTTTGGGAACAAAAAATGAATTTGAAAACAAGTTACTGCAAATGAATATAAAAAATGCAAGATAAAATAACACACATTGACACCCTATACTTTTTTCCTGATGATTAAAATATTGTCAGCCTAACCATCTAAAACAAATTCAATCTTAGATTCCCATGACCTATTATTCCAACCCATATTTTCATACACGGGAACTCAAGCATTTATCACTACACCAAACAATACCCCCTCTTTGATGAAACTTCTATGTTTATCTAAAAAGGGTTTTCAGCTCTCCTAAAAAGCCCTAGCACAAATTACATCCAGCCACTGCATCTAAATTTTCAACTAATGAACCTATTTACTTCCTGTCATGCAATTTGATCATAAGATTTACACTCTTAGAGCATCTTCAACCACACTCTTTATTTTTTACTAGTTAAAGTACAAAAAAATGACACTCTTTATTTTACCTAATTAGTTTAGCTATTGTGCGTTCCAACCATACTCTTTATTTTAGCTAGTCATTCAAACTAATTTAACCAATTTTCAAAACAAAAAATGCTATATATATATTACTCTTTTTCATAGAATGCCACATATGCACCTACTCTCTAATATGGTTGCCAATGTGACATTTGCGATAATATTTTTAAAAATAATATTTTTTAATATTAGTTTTAAAAATATTATAAAAAATAATTTTAAGTATGACAGTAGTGGATATATATAAGAATATGAATCAACAAAATCACCTACATCTTCAAAAATGTAATATAACCATGCCATATTTAAGTATGCACAAGTGTTCAGACATAACATCTTATAATGCTAATTTTCAAGGGCATATTACAATTATATAATATGAGCTCACATGCTCAAAGACTATTTAAGTATGCACAAGTGTGCAGACATAACATCTTATAATGCTAATTTTCAAGGGCATATTACAATTATATTCTAATCCTAACATTATTTACACCGTGCCTTTAGGCACGAATATACGCTAGTATATATATATATATAGCAACAAACCACAGTTAATATTATAATGAAGAGCACCACCAAAAACAATACTAAGCAATGGTTTTGAGCAAGTGAGCTCATATATATAGCGTATGC